AATATTAATTAGCTTGTTTGATATAAGGAAAGTATGTATTGAGTACCTTTTTGCTAACCTGATTGCTTAATTTTTTTAAAAAAAGGTTTACACTTTTTAAAAAATCTTCAAACTGGCCTTTATTACATAGTCACAAAGTTGCAGCTAGGAGAGGGATGGGCAGGAAAGAAACTAGTTTTGAGTGTCTTCAGTTAGAAACATGAGACTAAGGTTTGGTTTTGTTGGGGTGATCAGACCCAACACCAGGTCGTGGGGGCAAGGAAGTCCAAAGGGGTCAAAGGAATGAGAAAAAGACAGTTTGAGAGAGCAAGTGGGACGAGGAGGCCATCGCGAGTGTGGATGCTGCCTGAGGGCCCAGAGCTCTGGGAGCCCACACAATTTATTGGTGATCAAACAAAGAAACAGGTGGTGAGGATGCGGGCATTGAAAGGAAACAGTGTATCAAGTGAATGAGAAACATATGGCTGCTTGAGATAATGGGCGTGCTAGAAGCAAGGAGCCTTGCTGGCAGACATGCAAGCCCTGCCTCAGTTTCTCTCCCAACACTCAGCTTTTCTCCCAACAGGTTTCGTTTTTGTTTTCTCATTAAAATATCTTAAGCTTTATGGAATAAAACTTACTGCTGTTGTTAAAAAATAAAAATAAACCTTTCTTGGATAAGAAGTGCATTTTCCAATCCTTTTCTTTATAGCCACAAAAAATAGCTATTGATATTGCATCCAGTTTAATCCTACCTCATAATCATCATGAACTAATAATGCTGGGTGTACTTGTCTCAACTCATTAGATATCCTGGGTGTGTAAACAATAACAATGGCAAAGCAGGTTAGCTACCAACATAGCCACCAATGTCAACTACACCATAGAAGTCCTTAATTTTCTGTCTGTATAGAGCCAGCAAGACGTTGTCAGAGCTGGCTCATAGACTGTGATTGGTGAGTCTGTTTGAAATTCCAGCTTTTCCATCATAGTATTAGATGTGATAAATGGGCTGGGGTCTGATGGTTAATAGCAGCCATCAAGGACAGCTAGAGTATCCTTCAGGCTGAATTAGGGTGAAATACTGAGAAACTGCAATGTGCTAACAAGATCTGTGAAAGCTACACAGATTAAAGGGCAGTTTTTTTGCTTGTTTGTTTATTTCTTTCTTTCCAAATACGAGGACCTTTTATTTCCTTCATTACCCACCCCATCCTCAACTATCCTCCCAGGATTCTGACAACCGTACCACTCAAGTTGCTCATTGGTTTTTCAGGTGAGCAGCATCCTTCACCATTTTAAATGACGATGTCTGTATTATTTAGTCAAAAGGGTAAAAATTATGTACTGTGAAAGGCACCTAAAAAGAGGTTAAGGCATTGAGATACAAGATTTCCCTAAGACAAATGTTCTCTTTATTTTTCCTGGCAAATAATATCTTCATTAATTCTCGCTACTAGCTGGTGCTAGGCTACCATTTAGTAAGCATGCAGTGACATTGAACCGGCCACGATTTGTCAACCTGCGTGGGTCGTTCGTTCCTCTTTGTTTGGCATAATGCCCTTAAATCATGTCCACGGTCTGGCTTATCAATAGAGAGGCAGCAGGTCTCACATTCCTGCCCAGGTGTTTGCAGCCTGTAGCTTCACTTACAAACACCAAAGAGAGGTCATTTTGAATGGGATGCTCTTTAAACTCTCTTTCGACACTAGAATTTTCTGTTTTTCCTATCGTTTCCACCTCGAATACATAAACTTATTTTTTTATTAGTCTTGAATTTTATAATATAAATGGTACCTATTTTTGACTAGAGAGTTTAAAGACAAAGGTATCTGAATATAAATACTAACCCTCCCCCACAAAACAAAATAAATAAATAAATAACAAAAATACTAATCCCCAAATTTGTGCTGTTAAATTCCTCCCTAAAAAAAGTAACAGAACTGGCTGGGCACGGTGGCTCACACCTCTAATCCCAGCAGTTGGGGAGGCTGAGGTGGGCAGATCACGAGGTCAGGAGATCGAGACCATCCTGGCCAACATGGTGAAACCCCGTCTCTACTAAAAATACAAAACTTAGCTGAGCGTGGCGGGGCATGCCTGTAATCCCAGCTACTCGGGAGGCTGAGGCAGAAGAATTGCTTGAACCCGGGAGGCGGAGGTTGCAGTGAGCCAAGACCACACCATAGAAACTCCAGTCTGGCGACAGAGCTAGACTCTGTCAAAAAAAAAAAAAACAAACAACAGAACTAGCTAGCCAGAGCTCTCTTTTACTGCTTACTATTCACCGCTATTTATTATTTTGCATTGTGATATTTACATGATACATTTTCTGATAAATGTATTATTACACCCTCAGGTAGATACAAGTTCTTCTCTTCCTCTGTTGCCTATTTATATTTTCCAAAATAAAAAACTTTGTTTTATTTTTCTTATCTTACTGTATTTTCTTGGCCTCCTTTACAATGATGAATGTGATGGTGATAGACAGCAGCGATCTTTGTCCTGTTCCAGATAGCAAAGGAAGCGTTTTTGCCACTAACGTGTTTGGTGTAGGTTTTTATTTTGCTAAGCTTTCTCGTAAATGTGGGTGAAATTTCATCAAATACTTCTTTTGCCTCTATTGAAGCAAGCATATGATATCTTTCCTTTAATTTCTGAATATTGTGAATAACATTAACGAAATGTTTAAATGATAAAACAATCTGGCATTCCTGGTATAAACCCAACACATAGCTTATCCATTTTATTTAATGCTGGATCTGATTTGTTAATTTTTCTATCAGGACTTTTGACGCCATGTTCACAAGTGAGATTGACTGCTTATTTTTTCTTTCTTGGCTATCTTGTTTTGGTGTAGAATTGAGGTTATGCTAACTTCACAAAAAGAGTTGAGAAATCTCTTTTCTGTGAAACACTATGTGTGACACTAGAATAACGTCTCGTACAAATGTTTGCTGAAAACCACCGGTAAAGTCATCTAGATCTGGATTTCTTTCTTTCTCTCTCTCATTTTCTCTCTTAGTTTCTTTCTCTTTTTTTTTCTTTTGAGGCAGGATTTCGCTTGGCTACCCATGTGAGAGTGCAGTGGTACTATCACTGCGCATTGCAGCCTCTATTTCCCACGCTCAAGCGATCCTCCCGCTTCATTTTTTAAAAATTGGGCTGGGCACGGTGGTTCACATCTGTAGTCCCAGCACTTTGGGAGGCCGAGGCGGGCAGATCACAAAGTCAGGAGATCAAGACTGTCCCGGCTAACACGGTGAAACCCCACCTCTACTAAAAATACAAAAAAAAATTACCCGGGCATGGTGGCGGATGCCTATAGTCCCAGCTACTCGGGAGGCTGAGACAGGAGAATTGCTTGAACCCAGGAGGCAGGAGTTGCAGTGAGCTGAGATCACACCACTGCACTCCAGCCTGGGCTACAGAGCAAGACTCCATTTAAAAAAAAAAAAAAAAAAAAAAAATTGGGTGGGCGTGGTGGCTCACGCCTATAATCTCAGCACTTTGAGAGGCGGAGGCTGGTGGATTACCTGAGGTCAGGAGTTCGAGACCAGCCTGACCAACATGGAGAAACCCTGTCTCTACTAAAAATACAAAATTAGCAAGACGTGATGGTGCATGCCTGTAATCCCAGCTACTCGGGAGGCTGATGCAGCAGACTCACTTGAACCTGGGAGGCGGAGGTTGCGGTGAGCTGAGATCACACCATTGCACTCCAGCCTAGGCAACAAGAGTAAAATTCTGTCTCAAAAAAAAAAAAATTTTTTTTTAGAGATGAGGTCTCACTATATTGCCCAGGCTGGTCTTGAACTCCTGGGCTCAAGTGATCCTCCTGCCTTGGCCTCCTAAAATGCTGGAATCATAGGTGTGAGCCACCATGTGGAGGCTGGCTGGAATTTTAATGGAAATCTTTTGAAATTACTGATTCAGTTTCTTCAATAGGGTTAGACTTAGACTTACCCTACTGATGAAACCTTAGAACTTTTTAGATGTTTTATTTCTTCTGAAATCAGTTTTGCTAAGTCATTTTTTTCGTGAGAATTTGTCCATTTGGTTTAAATTTTCAAATTCATTATCATACAGTTGTCGATAATATTTTATTTTCTTTTGAATGACTGTGGCACCTATAATGATACCCCTTTTTTCATTCCTGGCATTAATGACTTGTGAATTCTCTCTCTGATTTGAATCACAGCAGTTTGTCAATGTTATAATGTCAAAGACCTAACTTTTTGGCTTTATTGATTCTCTCTAGTGTATAGTTATTTCCTCTTATTTCTGTTCTTTATCATTATTTTCTTCTGCATGATTTTTTTGTGTGGTTATCTTTCTACCCCACCACTAATGCCTACTTACGATTTGATTGACATTTAAATAGTGATCAGTTTCCTGGTAATAGATAATAGTTGCTTAACTGTAATTCTAGTTAGAATATAGCTGGTTTGGTTGACTACAGTATACCACTAATTAGGCTAAAGTCAAAATTTTGATTCTTTCTTGGTCTGGTGCAGTTCCTTTGAGCCTAAGGCTACAGTCAGCCACTTTACAGAGGTCAAAGAAAATACTGCTATAGCTTTGGAGCATTGTAAGTATTTCACCATTACTGAAGAGAAAAAAATACAGAAGTTTACATTCTACTACCTTTTGGCCACTTCTGTTATCTTCAACAAGTGAAAGAAGATTTTATAATAAAAAATCACAGAAGAAAAGGTTTATCTGTTGGTAAAAATATCCTGATAATTCTATTTCTGTTTGAGCTTCATATGTATTATTACCCATCAAAATACTTAAGAATTTTTCAAAAATTGAGTTTTGTTTTATTATACTATTGTCATTATACATTCTGCTTTAAAAATTATTAAAATAGGTCAAAGATATCACTATTTGCAATGTGCGTAATTAATTCACCTAAAGTGTCAGCAATGGCATTTCTAAGAGTTACTTAGAGTGGTTCGCTTTGGTAGCGATCAGAGACAGAGTGTGTTCCCATGGGCAATGTTTTGTGATGCATGTGAGTTATTGTTTTTGGTCAATAGCAAGTGTTAGATTCTCCTATCCCTCATGGTATCTGGTATATAATATGCATCAGAAATGGAGAGGGCAGCTGGGCGTGGTGGCTCACACCTGTAATCCCAGCACTTTGGGAGGCCGAGGCAGGCGGATCACAACGTCAGGAATTCGAGACCAGCCTGGTCAATATGGTGAAACTCTGTTTCTACTAAAACTACAAAAATTAGCTGAGCGGGGCGACGGGTGCCTAGAATCCCAGCTACTCGGGAGGCTGAGGCAGGAGAATTGATTGAATGCGGGAGGCAGAGGTTGCCGTGAGCTGAGATTGCGCCATTGCACTCCAGCCTGGGCGACAGAGTGAGACTCCTACTCAAAAAATAAAATTAAATTAAAAAAGAAATGGAGCTTGACTTGTCAGCTTGACTCACTATTAAAATGTCAATCATATCATAAGTAGGCATTAGTGGTGGGGTAGAAAGATAACCACACAAGAAAATCATGAATATACTCTTCCTAGTTTCCTGTATAACATTATATACCACACTGATATGGAGAGAGGAATGTGAGTGGTGTAGTTAAGAGAACTCCAAAACAACAGGGCTGAAAGAAAGTAAC